TGTGAAAAGGGTCGGGCCGTTTTATTGACAAAAAAAATTGGTGTTCGATAAAACTTACGAAAAGATTGGCGTGGCTGGGTCTCATTTTAGTACCCATGACCACAGCATTAGTTTGTTTGTAGTAGTTGTACTAGAAAGAATATATCGGTGAAACAGGTGGACGACTAGCCGACCCGGATATCGAGAACACCTTCCGGACACAGAAAGAAATGACAAGGACGCATCCAAACCAATCGCTAGACGCTTCTATCTCCCTAACCATTCTAAGTAGCATAAGGCGGTTCGCAGCTTTTACCTGCATCTATGCAGTTTGGAAAGCCGCAAAACTCTACAACAGAAATTTATCCTTCTAATCGGCACTCTTAATCCCCAGGGTATCAACGAGCGCTTTTCATTCCACTAATTTATTCTTTTTTTCTCGTCACCATGTTCCCACCAATAGCACAGCTCCATTTTCTGAATATAAACACACACCCACAACCCACAATTCCTCCAATCGCTCTAATTACGGGCTAACGCTCGAAACGTCAGCTTTAAACTCTTAAAGTGCCATTATGATTATAAAAGTTTAATGAAATTGCTATTTTTGAAACCTCGTATTGGGCTGACTCACCAGTCCAAACCGTTTTTTAATCAGAGCACAGGAAGTCGGTTTTTCGGAGCGTATTTTTTGATCTTTTGCTGTCCGTCATTAATGAAGCACGTTCCAACCGCTTAGGAAGGGGCTTGGAATCGAGTAAGCGGAAATGACGTCAAATTCTCGACTCGAAATACACACTTTGGCTAATTTCAATAGAGCCGCTTGCAAGTAAAAACCCTACAAACTTGCAATTCAGGCGGAATCCTGAGGGAAATGGTTGGCTGGCGGTGTGTCGTCGAAGGATGCAGCAATACTCCTGATCAAGAAGTTGGATTTTTTTAGTGCACGCTAGTCATTAATGAAGCACGTCACGCTAGTCATTAATGAAGCATGTTCCAACCGCTTAGGAAGGGGCTTGGAATCGAGTAAGCGGAAATGACGTCAAATTCTCGACTCGAAATACACACTTTGGCTAATTTCAATAGAGCCGCTTGCAAGTAAAAACCCTACAAACTTGCAATTCAGGCGGAATCCTGAGGGAAATGGTTGGCTGGCGGTGTGTCGTCGAAGGATGCAGCAATACTCCTGATCAAGAAGTTGGATTTTTTTAGTGCACGCTAGTCCTAAAAACAAGAGTGACCGCGACAAATGGGTAAGATTCGTGAGAACGCATCGAGCCAATTTCAGTCCTCTGGGACGATTCATGGTTTACTCTGAACATTTCGACAAAGATTGCTTCGAAAGGGGCCATTATGTAGAGGGTTCTCGACGTACGCCTCGTTCAGGCTCTGTATCAACTATTTGGCTGCAAAAAACCGCCCAGGAGCCTCCTTCTTCGAGATCTGAGCGAAAACGTAAGAGGGTAAGTAGACACGTGCTTCTTGTTTGCAAGTATACTTCACCATTTATATAGTTATATTTCAAAATTTACGACACTTTCTTATTTAGGAGGTCAGCGACTTACTTTCCTTCATTGGGACCAAGACATTGTCTGTTGATAAAGCAGAACTGGGAGATCATTTGAAATATGCTTCTGTAAGTATCATAGATGAGGACGATTGCAGACTCCAAGTAAGGCTCTAGATCTAGCGAGGATCATTTTGAATTCATGTCACTGAATAATATTTGTATTTTATATACAAGTACGTGCAAACTATTTCTTAACTACATCTGTCTCTTTAGAATTTCATGCACAGTTACACTCCTCCGATGGCTGGCCCTTCGCATCTGCTGTTGGTGGTGACATTGTAAGTTTTCCTTGTGTTTAGAGATGAAAATTATATTGAACAATACTGAGAAAGCATTTTGGCTTGCAGAATGACTCAAATTCCCGGGTAGCTGCTTCAGATGCTTCAAAGAGTTTCTTGCCTATGGTGACTAGTACACCAAACATGGTATTTACAGTATAGATGTTACCAGCCGAAGCTTTTCCATTGAAAAAAAAAATTTGTATCCTGCTATCAAGCTTACATATTCTGCCTCTGATAACATTCATACTTCCCTAACAAGTAGATTTCTTACCTACTGGCTGAATAATTTCAGCTTTATGCTTGCTCAAAAACAATGTCCTCTTTAACGAAATAAAACAAATTTTTGTTTGCAGAATGTTACTGGTGAGCAGATACATGGACCTACCTTGAAAAGTTTAACAGATGAAAGCTGTCAGAGGGATCTGATGGAGACTAATACTCCCAAAAAGGTGTCTTTTTAATAGAGATCTTAGAAGATAAACCCGTGTTATTTTTGGCATTAACATCTCTTCTATCTGTTACTGTCATTCTTATCAGGTACCTGATGTGGAGGATGTCACTTCGGAGACAACACCTTATTCTAGCTGTCCTGAGCTTGAAAGTTTGAAGAAAGAGAGGAAAAAGTTAAAGAGAAGGGAAAAGTCAGAGACCTAAATGTTAAGATAGGTCACTTGAAGGATACATTGCAGAAAAATTAGGAGGATTGGGCAATGCCATTTAAGGAACTTGAGAACCAACAGCCAGCTCTAGTGACATCAGGTGTGTTAATTATTACCTTCTCATGGTTATAGAGTTGTGCAGTCTCCTGTTAACAGAGGCTATCGGTAACTACTTTCAAAACATTTGAAATTTACGTTATCAAATTAGTTGATAATACTTAATTACCCTGTTATACCCTCCCACCACCGCAGCACCACTCTCAGTTTCTTTAGAAACTCACCTCCTTTATTCATATGCCTGACGTACTTCCCTCTGAGCACGAGAATATGGTCATAAATGGGTATACGTAAGTCTCACGCAATTTATCTTGTCTGGCGCTATGGTGGGAAAGACGGAAACATGACAGATGTAGCTGTAAAGAAGCTATAAGGTAGGTACACGAAATCGAAATGGCTTCTTGCTAATTCCTAAGTAAAGCCTTTCCTGAGCGGTATACCTCTAAACTGATTTTTCTTTCGGTGGTAAACACCCATAAAGTCTACTACTGTCTCCTCTGAACGCTTTCTGCAGCCTCAATCAAGCCACTTTTTTCCATACATAATTTTGATACGATAAGCGACCTATGTAAAATGAAGCAATTTAAGAAGTTATTCCCTTCTTTTTTCTCTGTCATTGTAGACCCTAGTGCCATTGCCAAAGAAACCTTGCTTAATGAAATAAGGACCTTAAAGCAAGCTGGAAAACATCCTAATATTGTCACTTTGATTGGCACAAGGATAGAAGGAGGTAAGTCAGTTTTCGACGATGCAACGTCTTAGAAATATGCATGTTTACTGGGTGATTGACAGTAACAAGGTAATTTTCAGCCGTCTGTAAGGTCAGTTAGAATAGTGCAGGTACTGAACTTATGATTAAAGAAAGATAAGAACATTTTCCGCTGAGCTAAGTTCAGGGAAGTTCATATGGAATTTTTTCCTTTACTTTTGGCCACCGACTAAACCTAAAATACCAACGAATCACCTTTTGATCAACTCAAGGTGCTGATAATGTCCAGTTTCGTTCTCTTGTCAACTCTTATGTGTTCGCTCAACTCTCAGTAAAAGGTAAGATCCGCTAGCAATGTGTAGAAATAAATGTAAAGGCAAATTTGCCAACCTTCCATTAGAGATGACAACTCTCAAGAGATTACAAACAGGTTATGATCTCTTGCTGCACTAAATATAACGCGGGCAGTTCGAGGTTGTAAAGTTCCTTAAGGATACATTCAGGATCTTTTGCATTTTGTTATAGGCCACCCAATCATTGGTGAGCCTCTGTTAAGAAAAATATGTATAAATGCGGGCAATCCCAGCTTGTAAATTGGCTTCAGGACACATTGAGGATCCTTCGCACTTTCGTATAGGCCACTCAATTAGTGAGCGCCTCTAAGCAAAAAAAATATACATTGTCTTCTCTTACAGTTTTTCCTTTGCGACCTAGCAGCGAGGAATATTTTTAGTCGATGCCAACGTGGTGGCTAAAGTTGGAGACTTTGGATTAGCCAGGGACATATCCGTTGCTGGTATATACACAATAACCTCCAGGGTAGGCACGCTTTGCAATCAAAGTCAATGACTAAACAGAAAAATTAAACAAACACGGAAACACTTAAATTGATGCTCTTCCTTGGTACAATCGAGCAGAAGAAATTAATTTCTTCTAATGATATAATTTACGATGAAACTCTCAACGAGCTGTGTATCATGTGACACGTTTACTTAATAATCATAAAAATTACAATTTCTTTTGAATGTGATTGATGGATTAGGCGCTTTATATTTCACAAATTTTTCCGTTGATGTATAATCGGAAAGTTGGATGTAACTGGAGACCTGTAATCGAACAGTTAAAGCAGCCAATCCTACCATCCCACTCAGCTAAATCCACCAAACGCAGAATTGATTACAATAACTACAGCGACAACCACTTACCCAACCATCAGGGGAGTTTCGTGATAGACAAATCGGACTCCCGCTTCGTAGCCGTCCGATTTTTAAATCACTCGTATCATTACAGACCGAATTGGACTCCACTCGGACTTATTATCATTATTAACTACGGGTTAGTTTCTAAACTTATGATAATGTTAATAACAATAATAACAACGGCCATGGTAATTATTACTCTGGATTTTACTAGAAATTAATAATAATTACAAACTATCGTATATCTTAACGTCAAAAAGAACTCGCTTACTATTAATGAATGCATCCTTCTGTTTCATAGGTCATCCGCTTCCCAGTTTCAAAGGGCATTGCCAGCACCACAAAAAGTAGCTTGCTCATATGAATCTATCTTTTCAACAGGGCAAGGTTTCGTGCAGATGGTCGTCGTTAAAATCTCTACGAGATCTGCATTTTACATCCATGAGTGATGTGTAAGTTTCATTTTGTATTTAATACTGTCAGATCTCTGTCTCTTGACTTCGAGTCGGAAGTATTGCCTAGTGGAAAGGATTTCCAAATAAAAAAAAAAAACCTCTGCCTTACGCTCTAGTATATCCCTTGGAGCATTATTATGGTTACACCTGGGCTTCCCTTTACGTTGTTTGTTCGTCTTCGTGTACATGCCTGTTGTATCTATACCTATCTGCATTTTTGGACACACCTTGAGAACTTATCATGACTTAAGAAATTCCTTCCTTCAAATCAAGCATCATATGCACATATCACCTGATTGAAATTAATACCAGAGGCAAGGTCCACATAAAAGGAAAGACTCAACATCTTGAGTGATGTAAATATCCATTAAACACTAAAAGAATACAAGGAGACTCGATCTTTAATCAATTCAGCGCTAGTCATTCGAACTCCTTATTCTTTGAAGTTATTAACCCTTTCACTCCCAAGATCTCATTGTTAATTCTCCTTACTGTCTGCCATACTATTCTTTAGATTTTATTCGGATAATTTGATATGGGTTCAACTAATTATCTCCTTATTGATATTTTTTTCATCTCATCACTTGCCTGCTTCATATTGTATTGATATTGTAAGGAGAAATTCTGTCTTGGTCACTTATGGGAGTTAAATTTGGTATCGTTCTACGGGAAATCACCACTTATGGTAAGTGTGATGTGTTATTAGCTACATGCGACTTAAAACGACATCCTAAGAACTGCGAATCATGTTCTCGTCATGAGGCCCCAATCCATAATGCAGCCCAAAGTTAGCAAGGCTCTTCTGTAAAGCTAACCATATAGACACAAGCATCTTCTTGTAAATGATTATTGTCAGTCAGACGAAACTGAACAAGATGAGAAGGCCGCTTCCAGGTGTAGGTTGTGCTCGTGTCAAACATTTTATACGTGCTAAATCTTATTTTTCACAGTGCTGCACTTAATTTTATCGATCTAAATCAGACACATAAAGTCTTCGCAAGTCTTTATTTATTTACAAAGTTATTGCTGAATTATTGTCTTTGAAAACTGAAATGGTTAAAGCATATTTTATTTCTGCCAAACAGGTGAGTTGCCATACCCTGACATCACAGGGCCAATTGCCTTAGTAAGTCGACTTGCTTCGGGATACCGGATGCCTCGTCCCGACCGATGTTCAGAAGAACTGTAAGCTCTAAAGTCTTAAATAACGCTAGTAAAACTAAATTAAATCATTTAATATGAAGACGGCTTCAAATAATGGATGTTTACTTCCCGGATTCTTTTAAATTAATTGAATAGCGTTTTACTCTTCGAGCAAAGTCTCGCAAGATCCGCTGACACAATTTTCTCGTTGATCAAAACGATGCATTGAATCAGTCGTGATGATTTAAAACAATTTGTACATCAAATCAAATGTCACATTCGGCCAATAAGTGATCTTTCCGATGATCATTGTCATGAGTTCAAAATCACCTCTTTGCACCCCTTTTCACGCTTGGTATGGTCAATTCAGATGCTGAGAGTATCAGCTGTGAGACAATGTTAGCTAATACTGTATTGAATTCTTAGATATGAGCTCATGAGTTCTTGTTGAAAAGAAAATCCTTTGAGGAGACCAGCATTTCGCAGATCACCCAACAGCTGAATAATTTTTTGCGAGAAGTGAGGGTAATTAATGGCTGTATTTAGAAGTTTTCTATTTCTTCCCGTCCTTTCGCTCTTCTCAAAATTATATCTGCCCTCTTCTTCCTACTTCCATTTATTCATCTTTGCTTCCCTTCACCTTTCCATGGATCCCTCTGTCACTCTGTCAGTCCTTCTGATAAACCTCTTATCTCCAACTGCAGCTATCGATCCATTCATTCGTACACATAGTCATCCATCCACTTGCTTTTCCGTCTATCTATATGACCTTAGCTTCTTTTCGTTCCTTCTTTTGCATGTTCCTAAGTTCATTCTTTGCTTAGATTTAATTCTTTTACAGTACAACAGTTATTTATATCGTTATTCTTATTTTTTGTGACTAATTTATTCTAATGATTTATTTCAGAGGACATATACAAACATCACAGAGGTCAACGATGGAGAAGCTTGACGATGACACCCTGACGCTGAAGCAAACACCTCATTTTATTTGCTTACTAATATAGGAAGATAACTGCGAGATCTCAAATAAGCGCATATATGTATAAGGTCTGATAGTCATGATTAAAGCAATTTTTTCTGAACCAGGTACCGACTAGACTCAAAATTTAGAGTCAGTTTGTTTTCCTTTGTAGAGGAAAGTTTTCCTCACAATAGGTACCGCAAATCAAAGCAAAGAATAAAACGGTGCATCCTGTATTACTTACAATGCTTTAGTGGCTGAGAAAAAATCATTGCTATCAGGTAAATAGACTAGACTAACGTGGATTGCATTTTCTCAGAAAAAAATATTAGCACTTATCTGATCTAGCTTGCAACAAGTCTTCCATATCAGCGCTACCGCAAGAGTATTTTCTTCGCTGGCAGGTAGACTACTCTTCTTCTGTGCTCTGGTCGCTTTCAGCGTGCTTTACAACAGAATAGTTCAAAGTTAAGGCTTCTTTATTTGTTAAATAAAGAGATGAACACCTCATTATTAGCGCTGCAGGACAGGCGTTTCTCAGCCCGCGGAAAGATGTGAAATGAGCAAGGGAGAGATTTGTCGGGGATCTGGGACTAATTATCAGTGCAACACCTTGGCAGACCTCCAGCCGGCTCGCGTTGCTCGCGTTGAACCGAGGCGCTTAAAATGAGGACCAGCGCGAAGGCTAATCGGTCACAACAGTGACGTATCTCCTGGGAAAGGCTTACTCAGCTTTATGCGATGCAACAATAACTGCATCTCGACAATCATCAATCATTACAGGAAGGCTGGCCATTATTGCAACAAGCAAAGTTTAGAGCTAGTAGTGTTTTCATTCCCTATAGAAAAAACAGATTTCATATGTTAGTTTTTCTGCCGTTTTGTGGCTTCTTAATTTTTTTTCCAAATTTTTAAAAATTTTTTTTTTTTTGTCTCAGTGCGATCAAATCTATCATGATGGAAATAAGTTAAATTTAGTGAAACCGAAACCATCAAATTTTCTCTTTGGTGGACAAAAAGATGTGTTTTGATCTTTTATCATTGTAAAACAACCTTTTCTCTAAATAAAGCCATCGCTGAAAGCTACTGAAGCGCTTTACCGGGTCTTAAATATCTTAAGAAGAAGTTAGACACCACTATTTCGGGCCAAGATTTAATGGTAGAGGTTGATGCTTTCCGAAGTACTCCCAGAAGTCTTTTTGTCAAAAGCTGTTATTCGAACCTTACCTCTAGTGATTGGCGATACAGCTATCACAGAAGATTACAATCAAGAGTTCACAAGAGAGCATTTGAGGGGTGTCTTCGCAAAAAGTGTTAAGAAAAATAAAAAAAGCTTACCAAGATAAGTTTTCGTGGTTTCGAACCTGATTAGTTAACGAGTGACAGCCAGACAAGATTATAACGTAGATGTGGAATACCAACGAACACAATCGCTAATCTGAACAGATGAACACAACAGCCGATTCTGTTTTGGCCTTTTCTACTGCCTCTGCCAAGCACTGATTGGCGGAAACTCATCTCATTTTAGTTGTCATCTTTAAATTGGACAACATCTGATCATATCATCACCAGCTACGGCTAAATCGCCTACATCAAAACATCTCGCTCCATTTTCGGCCCTAAGTTTATATCATCGGTAATTAGCGAGGGTTATCGCATACTATTCGAGCAATTAATGCCCGGGAATGTCTCTAGAAACAATAATTCAGGCTTAAACCACTCAGAATTTGTAGTAGAATCAGTTTTGGAGCTCTTGCACTCGGGCGTGGTAGTAGAAATCGCGAATCCCCAGTACGTCATAAACCGTTTGACCGTGTCCATTCAACCCAGTGGGAAAAGGAGGTTAATTCTGGATCTTCGCTACGTCAATAAATTTCTAATTAAGCAAAAATTAAGTATGAAGATTGGAAAGTTGCGTTATCTTACTTTCAGTAGGGGCCTACACGATCTCGTTCGACCTTAAGAGTGGCTGCCACCATATGGCCATTCACCTGCACCATCAGGCGTTCAGGGTCAATATTGCTTTATTTCTTAATGATGGTTGGCTTAATTATCGATGTTGATCGAAACTCCTGCGCAGTCTAGCTGCTAATGTTAGGTCCGATTTAAAGAGAGCTGGGTTTGTCACTAATGACGAGAAATTGCAGTGGTGTTCGACCCAAATTATTGAATGGTTGGGTATTTTATGGGATGCTGTCAACGGTATGATTCGTATTTCGAACAGACGGGAGTTGAGCATCGCGAAATCTGTAGATAGGATCTTCCTTAAAGATTATCTCGTCTCGGCACGGGAATTATCTTCCCTCGTGGGTAAAATTATTTCCGCTGGGACAGTATTTGGTAACATTTCCCGAATTATGACTAGGTACTGTTCTATATCGGTTGTGTCCTCTCATGAGTGGGACTCTAGGTTTCATCTGGATAAATACTGTGTCAGGGAACTTAATTTTTGGAAAGAGAATTTGACACGATTGAACTTGAAGTCAGTTGTGGATTGTCCGTCTAAAACATCTAATTACGTAGTTTATTCCGATGCTAGCCCCACAGGGTGTGGTGCCCACTTAGATGTCAACGGTGAACAATTACTGTCATAAGTTATGGGATGTAGATGATTGTGGTAAAAGTTCCACGTGGAGGGAACTGTCAGCTATTTCGTTCACCCTGCATTCATTTTTGCCTCTCCTTATAGGCTCTTACATGAATTGGTTTTCTGATAGTTAGAATGCTTGTAAAATTATACAAGTGGGAAGCATGAGGAGCGATTTGAGCTTAATCGCCATGGAGAGTTTTCAGTTTTGTGTTGATGATAACTTTGCGCTGGAAGTCCAGTGGATTCCTCGTTCTGAAATTGACAGAGCGGATTATATAAGTCGCTTTATGGATGTAGACGACTGACAAATTTCAGCTTGCTTTGCGTCTCTAGATACCAGCTAGGGGATTCACACTGTAGATTGCTTTGCTAGTTTTTGTAATAAGAAGATCAGAGCGATTTACTATCTATAAGTTTCCAAGGCCACCACCACTATAGTTGTACCCTTTTGGCCATCATCGTATTTTTGGCAAATTATCACCAGGAAATTTGCCAGTTCCGTAGAGGATTATAGGTGGTTCAACGCTAAGGATGCATTAGAGCATGGGTGGAACACCAACTCGTTTTTGGGTAGCGGCGGATTCACTGGACTAGTTTTAGCTCTTCGAATGAAGTTCTCTTCTCCCTCTCATACTTTTAGGTAATTTCATGAGTATTGCTCAGTTGATTGTCTACGTGTTGAGCAGGGAAAAGAGACACGAGACGCTTGTCATTAAGTGTATACAGTGAAAGGGGGCGCTGGCCTGAGTTGAAGATGGAACGGTTTTTGTAGGCACTGGCGCTTGCCTGCAGCCCTTATGACGGTCAATTTGAAACGAGAACGGGAGGTTAAGCGTGCATCGTCTATTACCATAGAGTTTTCTCGCTGCAGATGTTTAATGTGGATGGCCATTGGAATCATCTTCCGGCTAGGATAAGACCAGACTTGAAAGACCTTCTTTTGATGCTATTGAAACCTAAGGCGGAGTCTACATTGAAGAGATACAAGAAAGAGATTCTTAGGTTTCTTGAAGGTTTCTGGTGCTTCCTTTGTCTGTCTCTCTCGCTGTTTCCTATCTCAACAAAGTTTACAAAAGCTCAAACTCTTATGCCACATTATTGTTGTCTCACGCCAATCTAAAGAGGTTTCATTCTCTCTTTCCGTGTAACGACAACAGTCCACTCAATAGTTAAATTTGGTCATAATTTGCTGGAAGCGGTTAAGCGTTGCAAGCCAATTACTGTTAAGAAGGCACCTATGCCTGCCCATATTATTAGAAGTATAATTAATAAGTATACTGGTCCATCAGCAAATTTAGAGGATCTACGTTTAGCTTGTATTTGCTCGATAGGTCTTGCAAGGTTTTTTCGTTATGATGAGCTGAGCAACCTTGCTCCCGCACATTTAAAGTTTTGTCCTGAGTACTTGAGGGTGTTTTTCCCAAGGCGAAGAATGATTTTACCGGGAAGGAAATTATGTTTATGTCAAGAGGCTAGATTACAATTTTTGTCCCGTGGCACTTTTAGAAAGGTATATTTTAATGGGAGATATTAATCTGTCCGGCTCCGTTGCACTCTTTAGGCCAGTAAGACTGTTTCAATCTACTAATGAGTACAAGTTGTATGGAGGGAAGTTATCGTACACTAGGTGTAGGGAAATCTTTAAGGATTGCCTTAAAGAACTCGGTTTAGATCACAAAATGTATGGCCTCCATAGTTTAAGATCCGGAGGTGCTAACTCTGCTGTTAGTAACAATAATAATCTATAAGGGTAGTTGAACTTAATGGACGCTGAAAGTCGGATACTACCAAAAATATGTATATCTTAGAAGACGTCTCTGAGCGTTTACAAATTAGTAGTCGGATAGGCTTATAGAAGCCTTCATTAACTGTATCTTTCCTAACGAGTAGTATGATTTAGAGCGTAAGTATACTTTTTGGTGGAAAGTGTTGGTTGCCAATTTTATCTTCAACATAATATTCGGACGTCTTGAATTTTTATTAATGTTTATTCGTAATTGTTTCCTTAATCTACAAAAATCAGAGTTTTAAACAGAGCTAGCTTTAATTTGAGTCAATCTTCGTATTTTTTACATTTATTAAGCGCTCATGGAAAATATTTGTATGAAGTATTCAGTTGATGAAATATGAAATTATGTTGATAAAATACTAAATTTCCTCCATTCGTAGACAGGAGGATCGATCTCATAATTTTTTTTGTCAAGGGAAGTCTAATAGCGGTATGAATATGAGCTGAATAATAACATTGTATCTGTTTTGTTCACCGCCCACTAATAATTAGGGTATATTTGATCGCTTGCATTGGGATGAATTTTTTTCGTCTAGTGACTTTGCATGGAAAAGATGGATAATAGCCTATTTATAGCAAACAAATAATTACATTTCTACCTGTAAAGCATGCCTTTACCCGGTCAGTATTTTCCTATCTCTGCCCACGGGCAACGGTAACGCTTTCGTGAGTCGCCGAGTACATCCCTTCATTCGTTGCTATTTTCATAAATATATCTCGTTTTACCGGCTGGGCAGTATTTTTAAGCAAAGAAGTCGGTCACTACCTCAAGCCGATAAATAACTTATTAATCCTCTCTTTTCTCTCTCTCAAGTCACTTTGGTCGACTGAAAAATTTTCGTTTCAGAATGACTTTTTTGTATAAGCAATAATGCCATTACGTCGGTTGACAGGCGGCCTAAAAACCGTCTGCAATTAATTTTAATCGTTCACAAAAAGTACCTAGAGAGTTAAAACGTAAGATATTTGGCTACAGTTGAACTAATCGATGGAACTTGCATTCATTTAATATCTGAATTTTCTCAAACAATTTGTTCGTGGTGAAAAGGCGAGCGAAGTTTTAATTTCAGTTCTGCAACAAATATGCGCTCTCGGTGAGTCTTTTCAAGTCCGTTCAATTTGGACATTTGTATCATAAATTGCACAACAGAAACTTAAGAAATTAAATGAGAAAAGGCCGCATGAAATCCCCTCGTGTCTTGTTGGAGGAAAGACCAGATTTTCACACGCCATTGCAGCAAACAAACGAGCAAACTCTCACAACTTCAAAACAAAAATTTGAATTTACTTACAATTACTTTCCTCGCCGATCACTTAATGAACAAAGGTGAATCTTCGTACATAATTTAATCGTCGATGAGAGTGAATAATACCTTCGGTAAGATCATTGACTGTTTTTGAAGAAAACATTGTGGTGATAGTTCTTGTCAAACTAGTTTCGTTATTTTTTAAAAATTTACATGCGCTTTTTTTCTTTTCTAACGCGCTCTTTAATTGACAGGTGTCAGATTGTGACAGATACTTGTATAATAACGTTTCAAAGTTTGTTTGGAAGCCTTTTAAATCACTTTTATCCTTAGGCAAATGAAAATGTTCTTTTTAATTTGCGTCACCTCTATTTTAACTACCATTCACTCGCTCAAGAACTGTTCAGTTTATGGAAGCCGTATTTATAGCCCTAAATCATTCGGGTTCTTTCGGAATGAATTTCGTCAAGTTTGAAAAAAAAAATTTGTTATTTACCGGCTAAGGGTCGGTCCGTATGATGAAAGACTGTGACCTCGGCCTTGAAAATGCATTTTCAAGACGTCGGTCACAGTTTTTCACCATACGGACCTCCCAGCTGGCAAATAACATATATATAGTCAACAACAGGCTTCTGCGAATTCATGAAAAGAAATAGGAACCTCGTTCGGAAGGTTTTTGATCTACACATCACAGAGGGTGCGAGGAAAGACTTACGATCACGCTGGTCAGGTGTTTGAGTGTCAAAACAAACTCCACCAGAGGTTCAAAAACCCGTTCCCCCCACCCCACCCCCCCCCCCAAAAAAAAAAAAAAAAAAAAAGCTCTGCTAGTATTTTGGCCGAGTTTCTCCCACAAGTACGTATCACTTTCAATAAGGACTAATCGTGCTAGGTGAGAAGAGACTGTTGTACGGCTTGCCGAAAACATGTGCTAAGGGGGGGGGTATATCACAGTTATATGGTTTGACGCTAGAATGATGGAAGTTGTTTTCATGATTGAAACTATGCAATTGCTTTGAGACTAGCAGCTATCTTCAGTTTCTGATTCTTTTATATTTTAATCAGAAATGTTACACACTGAAAAAGGTGATAGGGGATTATTTCTTTGGATCTTTATTACTGCAAAACAACGAAAAACTTATTTACAATGTACTTCAATGTACCACTGAGTTCAATAAAAGTAGAAGCGTATATCGTATTGTGAAACAAAACCGTTTGGAACTAGAACATCAACAATTGATAAAGTTCAGAGGAGCATTGGTAAATGCAAATTTAAAACTTTGGTTTGAAAGGGTAGAACACAACTATTAAAAGCTTCTTTAAGTGTTCAAACAGTGGCATGATGCACAACTACCTTTGTAATATTGTCAAAATTGTAATATAACATCATCAGGAAGAACCAGGGTTTGACATGTAAGGGGTACTATAGCAAAAAAACAACAACAACAACAGCAATAGCAACAACATAAAAGGGAAGATAAAAGATGAGACAATTCATAACATAATTCTTTTTGTGTCAATTTGCAGATGCCCAGTCTAACCACAGAGCACGTGGCATTCCAGGCGGGCGAGTGAATCTCAGTCGGAAGACTATGGAAAATATCAATGCATTGCAAATAATAGTATTGGAAAAACCAATCAGGAGTGGCTGTCTCAAACATAGGTTAGATTTTTTTTTTTTAATGGAAGAGAAAAAAATCTCACTCCTTTCATTTGGGGGGAGGATCCTGATCAGAATTATCCTGAAAAGACTCAGGAAAAGCAGGGAGGAAGTTCTATTAGAAAGCTATTGTGCATAGTTTTAGGTCCGGTAACACAACAACGGACAAGATCTTCAATTTTCGGAAATTACTGTGGATAAGAAAATATCTGGGTTTCCAGATAAACTTGTGAATATAATCAAACTTTTCCACGAAGGAATGCTGTAAAGTGTCAGTCGGTGATGAGCTGATCGCTGCATTTACCGTTAATCATGGGGTTACACAAGGTTGTGTCGATTCTCCATCTATGTGACTAAATTTCGTTTCGAGTGACCACAGGAGGCGATCAACATTAACCTATAATGGGGGCCTACACCAGAACTAGGACGGATGGATGAGTCTTTAACTTGCCCGTCTACTATCTTAAACCAAGACAAGAGATCGTTGTAGTAGAGAGCTTTTTTATGCAGACGTCTCCGCTCGAGTCGTTACTGATGTATATGTTATCTAGGAAATTGTCGACAAACTTTCCTTTTCCACAGACATGTTCGGGCACTGTGACAATATCTCTAAATCTGAGCTATTGAACCAAGCCTCTCCTAACTGCCCCTAGAAAGTGAGTCGTAAAACATGCTAATTATAAGGGGAGTGTTAAGGGAATAACTCTTCTTCACACTCCTTTTTTCATACTTCACTTTATTAATAACAACTTTTAAGAGGATTAGCTGCGTTACAATCAATTTCTCAAGACCAGACAACAGTCTTTATAGATGACAGCAATCATTCCAAGTGTCAGAGAATTTTTAGTAAATGTCCATCAACCTACGACAGCCAATCGTGTTGGGTTGCGTGTAACTTTTCATGCATACTAAGTAACTTCCTTCGACTTATTTATCATTTACAGAAACGACTTTCCTCCTTAATTTTTTTACTGTCACACCTCAATTCCAGAATAACGAACACAATGCTAGTAATATAAAAACTGTAAAGAACAGTCTAGCGAAATCAGAATATGACTTTCTATGAGAACAACCGAGAAAATTATCTTAAAAGGTTGTTACATAACAATAGCTTAAACAGAAAAATTTGAAGAAGAAAGGGCGTATCTATGGCGCCGCCTTTCCCATCATTGAAATAGTAATTAAATACAAAACAAATTGGATCGCAAAAACGATTCTGCGATTCGATGTACGATTAATTCACAATAAGAGAATATACGGACTAAAAAGCTAAACATAAGAACATGCTATTTGAACTTGTCCAACTTTAGGCTCATCAGTTTCGTCATACAACATCTGCTGAGTCGTATTCTATAGGAAAATTCATTACCTGACGAGGGAATTCCGCGTTAAGTTGCACTTGAAAACCGCGAAAGCCGATATCGCGATAACAGTTTTCAAATGCAACTATGGCATATAAAATAGCATGTTCTAACTATAGCATATGCAAATAGCATGTTCTTAGTGCCTGTTTCTGGGAAAGTGCTTTTATCAACCAATTTGTGAAACATTATCCGGTGCGGTTAAGAATATATGAAAGTCATTATCCGGTGCGTTGGCGCCGCAGATGAATTTGTGCCATAACTCAGTTGTCATCTGATCATCTGAATACATGCATTTCAACGATAAAATTGTCAAAAGTAAAATTAGTTTCCTTTTAAAAATTGTGTATTCAGGTGTTGGGAATTTAAAGACAATAAATATTTATATAAGGAGAATCGCCCTGCTCGGAGGACTTACAAAAACCGTTTGTCAGTAACATTTATTAAGAGAAAATCATTTTTAACTTTATCCTGAGCGCGCACTCTAGAAAGCCATTTCATTTCAAAGTCAACTGTCAGATCTGTCTGCGTTATCGAAAGGAAGCAAGGTCAGTCGGACACATTTGAATCTTCGACAACTTTACTTGAACCTTGTGCTTCACTTGTTTTTATATTTGGTCTCAAACTTTTTACACAAGGTTCACACTTATCTTAAGAGCAGTATTTCACTGAATTTACAAGCTGTTTATCTTAACATCTTTTTTCAAATTTCTAAATAATTTTCTCGAGAAGGAAAATAATTTACATCTTTCACCTCTTTGGTGGCAAAACTGAAAGAAATGAAGTGTGCAAGCGAAAGCTCTGAAAGTTTAACATCGCAATTAAAGGTGTTTATTTCTTCTTCTGTATATGTGACAATCGACTCTGTCACTTCTTCCGTTCTTTCTTCTTCGTCTTGCTTGGTTGAACTTTGGCTTACCATTTTATGGGCCGCGTTCACAGGATTTTCTCGCTTTCTCGTTTTCGCGAGCGAAAGAGTTTTTTTATGCCTCTCTAAGAATTTTTAGTTCATTTCAAAAGAGGGAAGAACCTCTGGCTCACTTTGAAAAACGCTTTCGATTGTTTTTGGCTCTTCAAAATGTGAAAATGGTTTTGAAAACACTTTAAAATGACATTGTAGGAAACTTTGTTACAATTTGAGGATAGTTGTTATGTTTACGTAGATGCGACATAATATCACTAAGCCTCGTTTTCAACCCCAAATTCCACGCTAAATACTTCGCTTCGTTGACCAATGAGAATGCGAGATTTTCTATGATAAAAGAGATCGTTTCGAAAGACGGTTTATTTTTGACTGGGTAAAGAGAGCATAACTTTCTATCACACCTCGTGTTGTACGACAGCTTATGATTAATTCGACTATCATCCTCTAAGTGGTACATTAACAAGACTCACAGCAAAACCACAAGGTAAGTTTATTTATTTTTTCTACAATTTCTTTTTTAAATGACGATTTCTTTTGCATTTTTTTGCCAAGTAAAATAATGTTTCAATAAAGAAATGGCAGTAAAAAAATAGTTATTTCGATCGTGGTTTCACAGCGAAGACGAAGACGTATATACCACAAAGTTGTTATTCAAAAGAATTTTCAGAAAAATTTATCGTGAAACAAAATCGTTTGATACAATATGTTTTATTATTATCACACAGCACAAAGTATAGTAAAAATAACGCGTTAATAGAGTACAAATATCCTGCGATCATTTGACGAAATTGAAGTCAAAATACGGCACAACTCGTGAAAATACTCAGCGATACTACACACCAAAACATCCAATCAGTGAGATATATTTATCAGGCATATTTATATGTAAAGCGAAATCGACCCAATGTTTTGAGACAACTGATGAGATCGTAGCTTCTATACTTTTTGGTGGAAAGTATTAATGGTCATTTTTGTCATCAACATAATATTCAGACGTCTTGAATTTTTGCTAACGTTTATTCCCTTAATGTACAATGATCATAGTTTTATACAGAGCTGACTTTAATTTGAGGCAATCTTCGTATTCTGAACTTTCATTAAGCGCTCATGGAAAATATTTGTATGAAATACTGAGATGATGGAAAATGCGTTTATTCAAATTTCCTCCATTGGTAGACAGGGAGATCCATTCATTATTTGTTATGTCAGAGGGAGTCTACCAGCTGTTGAAATTCAGCTGAAATATGATGAACCTGTGCTGTTCTCCGCTAGCTAATCATTAGGGTACATTTGATCGCTTACATTGGAATGAATTTTTTAGTATAATGACTAATAGTTAACGTTACATAAGGAATAGGATGTTTTTCACAAACAGTTGTCGCAGGTAGGAAAAAAAATTGACACATTGGGCCTTACTTTATGACAGACTATAGGAGGAGTTTGTCATGTTCACTCACTTATTTCGAAATGCCATTTTTAGTCGCCATCTAAAGGAAACAATAGAATGGATCAGAGGGCACTTGAAGTAAGCTCATTCATGTTATGGCTTAAGAGCGAATTTTTTTTATCACCGCGTGGGAGGTGGCACATGATCGGAAAAATCACTATCCTCATATTTCGCTCAGAGATACCTTAGGGTAAGTCTATAAACGTGGTATAATTTTTTTGTTCAGGGCTGTTTTTATTTTCTAGAAAATCACCAAACACTGTATCGAGCCCCAACCACCATAAAATGGCCGAAATGAAGTCGACGAGTAGGGCAACAAAACCTTTATTCCTCAAAAGCGCAAAAGAAAGCAAGTCTTTCTGAATTTTACCTATTTGTATACGAGGTATTAAAAAAATGATTTGAATCTAATAACGGGCTTGTTGACATAACTATGAATTATTGGCGAATATTTGAAAATAGCCAAAATTTGATTGATTAAAAATTACATTTTGGAGCAGTTTTTCAATAAAAATTTTTTCTACCTGGTATAACTCGGAATCACTTGAGATGAGTATTTTTACAAAGTGGAAAGAATGTTCTTTCCATGGATATAAAAATTAATTTGGGGCTCTTAATTACTGCGAAGAAGTAGCCCGGTCTATTTCGTGCAAATCGCAATGCCGTCATGTAAACAACCGCAGATAATCCAATTAGGCTTTTTATTATCGAAGCCATAATTCCAACAAAATCTTATCGCTTTGACCTATACTAGATTGTAAACTGGATTTCTTAAGCTCACCAGGCGAAAAACACCTTTCTAAGATTGGTTCCTTGCCTCAATCTTGTTATAAAGAGACTTGACCACAGCTTCGATAGTACAGTACTACAGGCGGTGTATACCAAATCACAGTGAAAACATCTCACGAAGGTTCCTGCCGGAAACGTCGCATTGCTGGACAGTTAAAACCATATTTCAGCTTGGAACACTCACATTTTACAAGTCTTCCTTTCACAATAAGAATGGAAGTTTGTTTTTTATAGAACGAGCCAGAGCATCCTGACAGATGAAGTGAATCATTGACGTTCGTTTTTTGCGATGGTGTCACGCAATAACATGTCACTCGAAAGGAGGCTCGGTTACCAATACGCTCTTATTTTCTTTCCTTCTTATCCCCTATTTTTTATTTCCGGGAAAAAGTTTTAAATCCAGAATTTAAAATTACCGTTGTTTGCATTTTTTAAGCGCGATACCACACACGGACATTCCTAAGGTATTCTTCAATGCAGCGACACTTAGATTGTGGTAAACACGAGCGAGCTCTAGAGCGCGGACAGACAGACAGAGCTGTTAAGGTGTATGGAGAGAAACTGGAGGGCGAGACTCCTTCAGTACCAGAGGTTATTGCAAACAGTAGACCTGACATCATACCAGATTCGTGCAGAAAAGTACCAATGGGCTGGGCACTAAGGGCTGGTGCCCCACGAAAGAGATTTACTTCCAGCCAGAAGGCCTATCTTACTGCCAAATTTAAACTGGGGGAACAATCAGGACAGAAAGCAGACCCTGCATCAGTTGCACGTGCGATGGTAAGCGCCAAAGATGCGAGTGGTAACCGCCTGTTTACAAGCGACGATTTCCTTACAGCAAATCAAATAGCTGCCTTCTTTTCCCGACTGGCTGCGATAAAGACCCTCCAGGATGACGAGGAACTGTCTGATGACGACTTGGAGGCCGCTGCAAGTGAAGCAAGAATCCAAGAGCTGTCGAATGCGGCTTTAAAGGAACTGGCGCTTAGACGCCCTATCACATATAATGCGTACAATCTTTGTGAAATGGCAGCAAAGTCCAGGTTAAAGAGCTTTTCCATTTCATTGCTGAAGGATATTTGCTTATTTTTTAGCATTAATATCAGCGATATCTCCGTTCATCGTAAGCAGCCTTACGTGAGCAAGATCGAAGCCCTTTGTTTTAGCTGTACCTGTCAGCAGTGACGTACTACATGTAGCTTGAATATTGGTTTCATTGACCAGGAAAACACCTAAAGTATATGACACTGTATTCTTTTCCTTTCTTTCTTTCTTTCTTTTTTTGCTTTATAAAACCCATTCAGTTAGCTGGTATGGAGGAACTTCCTGATTTCTTGAATCTCCGAGGGTACGCCGCCTCTGTCTTGTCGAGAATTCGGGATCTCAAAGAATGGCCGATTAATTGTTTGATTAAGGGACGGGAAACAACTTTTTCCGAGTTCGAGTTGAGAAAACTGTCAAGTTTCTAGCGATGGCCATTATCATCGTAGCAATCAAGGTACAAAATCGAAAGGTTTAAATTGATGAGCACGCTATCGTAAGGAAAATTAAAAAAACAACAACAACAACAAAAACAAAAAACAGAGATTGTGTAAGTCCAAAGCTTTAAAAAATGTAATTGTAATGACCTACAGTCAGGCGATATCAAATAACACGTACTGTCTCGCGGCCTGATACAAGCGGCCGACTTTGTGACTCGAAGATTTACGTTTTTAGTGAAGTTTAACGTTCAAAGCACGAAATTGTTAGTCTGTTGTTCTGATTACATAGTCGGTAGAATTTTTCCAGTGTCATTAGAAAAGAACGCCTCACCGTGGAACCTGTCTGCCTGCCACTGAAGGTCATGGTAGACCTTATCGATCCACTAGGGACACGTAGGTGATGTATATAATCACGGAGCACTAGACAATTAACTTCCAGTTGTTTTAGTTAACTGGGAAGTTTGTCATTTGAGAGGTTACGCATGACGTTTGTTTTTCCCGCGAACGTCAAAAATTCAATTTCTGTCGTCTGTCTTTAGGCGTGTGTACACGGAATTAAGTAGGTTTGTGTTTGTCGTGAATGTGTTATTTTATTTTATTTTATTTTTTGTGCAGGATTTACCCATAAATAGGTAACCAAATGAAAGGCAAGCTTGCGTTTGCCGTTTGCCGTTAAACGTCATACTTAAAGTGCCTATTGATAAATATAATCTTTGCAAGCGCGAAGTCGTGGAAATAGAGTCGATAACAACGCATGTATAGTCAGTACCAGGGGGTGACTAAATTTACGAAAACGTCAAAAAGTAGTTTTTCAGAATGGCACTGATTCAAAACACTCAAAAGAGATCTACAGCGTTTTTTAAGTGAATTCGCGCAGGTTTTTGTTTATAACATAACACTGACTAAGAAATAAATATTAGTTGGCCCTGCACTCGGTACAGCGATGTCTGCAGACGAATGCCTGTCTGGGTGTCCTGTGCACGTTTAGCGTGATTGCGTGACAAACATGAGTGATGACACACGACTTCGTTGGTGAACATCGTTGTGCCATTTGGGGAGCCAAACGTTTCTTAACTGAAACTGTAAGCAATCAAAGCATCTTGGTTTATCGTGCAAAAAAGACTTTTGTATATACTGGAGTTGTTTGGAAGCAGAAATAAGTCAAGAGGTGCGATGGTCTGCGACGATTTATGAACAGCTTCGAGTATTGTAAATGGTCAAGCCGGACGTTGTAAACACTTTTCAAGTGAACATGGCGATTTGAAACAAAAATAATGGAAACATCATTCCTTAATCACTGGTTTCAGAAGGTAAGGGTAACATATTGAGTTTCTGATAAAGCACAGCTCAAAGCGGTAAGATTTTGCAGAAATTATGGCTTCGATAATAAAAGAATAATTGGATTATCTGCGGTTGTTTACACAGCGGCGTTGCGATTTGCACGAAATAGATCGGGCTATTTCTTCGCAGTAATTAAGAGCCCCAAATTAATTTTTATATCCTTGAAAAGAACATCGTTTCCAATTTTCAGAAATGCTCATCTCAAGTGATTCCGAGTTATACCGAGCAGGAAAAATTTTTATTGAAAAACTGCTCCAAAATGAAATTTTTAATCAATCAAATTTTGGCGATTTTCAAATATTCGCCAATAATTCATAGTTATATCAATAATCCCGTTATTAGGTTCAAATCATTTGTTAATACCTCGTATACAAATAGATAATATTCGGAAAGATTTGCTTTCTTTTGCACTTTTGAAGAATAACG